AGATAGATATATAATATATTATGTAGTATTTTAATATGCTTTTGTGCTTTGGAAATTTCTATTGTTATATCCAGAAGCTCAGAAATTCTCTCCTTAGCCATGTCTAGTCTACTAATGAGCCCATCAAAAATATTCTTCATGGCTCTACTGTGTTTTTGATTCTATCATCTCCCATATGTCTTTTTGTTCTTTCTTAGAATTCTCATCTCTCTGCTTACATCACTTTGCACATTAACTATTTTTTCCCATTAACACTCTTAGCATATTAATAATATATAAATTTTAAGATTTCCAGTTTGATAATTCCAACATTCCTGCCATATTTGATTTTGGTTCTCATACTTGTTCAGTTTCTTTAAGCTGTGTTTTTACCTTTTAGTATGCCTCGTAATTTTTGTTGAAAGCTGTACATAATGTACTGCAGCATAGGCAATTAGGCCTTTAGAATACAGTAGTAAGATGTGGAGAAGGAAAAAATATTCTGTAGACCTATGATTAGGTCTTGGGCTTTTAATAAGCCTATGCTTCTGATTTGTGAACTTTAGCAGTGTTTCTCAGTTCCCTTCACACCCACCCCTTTAGGTGAGACAGGATGTCTAGAAGGAACTAGGAATTGGATATTTCCTTTTACCCATGTGGAAAGCTAGAGCTTGGAATTAGAGTATTTTCTTGGCTAAAATTGGATATTTTCCTCCTTCCAGGTAGATTAGATTCTAATAAAACCCTAGTAGGTCAGGTTCTGGTAGAATAATTTTTCCTAAGGACAGGCCTTGTAAGAACAGAATTCTCTAGAGCATTTAAAAATGGTTCCTTTTTCCCTCTCCTTGCTGGAAGCATGAAGAGATTTTTTCTCACATATTCTCTATGAGAACCTGATCAAGTCCTGAAGGTAAAATTCATAAAAGTGTAGGGGCCACTGTATGACTGGTCCCCCAAGAGCTTTTTATACCTCTTAGACTTATCCACATGAGCCTCCAACATTTCATCAGTTACAGTTTAGATTTTCCTGCTTGGCACTGATGCATGCAAAGTCTACTGCACAGGGGTTTCTGCTGGAGTAGGTTGTGATTCTCTGTATTTGCTTGTTGGTCTCCAATTTATGGGGCGGTTGTTTGTTCTGTCTTCTCTGATAAATCCAAGAAGAGGTGCTGATGTTTTGAGTTTTCAGAGTTTTTCTTGTGGTTAGGACCGAATGGTGACTTCCAAGCTCCTTACTTGCTGGGCTGGAAACTGAAAGTGGTACAGTTAATTTTAACAATTTATTTTATTTAATCAAATATATCTAAGGCATTATCATTTCAACCTGTGGCACTAGCCTCATTTTAAGTGCTTAATAACCACATGTGACTAGTAAGTCCTGTATTGTACAGGAATTCTAGAAATCCCTTCACTGGTGCTCAGCTCAAGAGTAGTGGTCTTTCCCAGTAGGAGAAGACTTATGAAAGATGATCTTTTATTCTGTAAAGTGGTGCCCTCCTGAGTTATTTTAAGTGTAATTTTGACTATGAGTACTTTGATTATATTTGCTAAATTCAGATCCAAATTCTGTGAAGGGTGTGAAACATTTGTACTCCTAGGGATTGGAGCAGCGTACCCATGAAAGTGACATTTGAGATGCTTTTTGTAGAATGGATGAGACTTAAGAACCGAGAAATCACAGAAGTGGAATAGGTAGAAATCATAGTTTGAGCAAAATTACCATTGCAGAAGAAAGCCAGGTGTATACAGTCAAAAGATATGCTTCCATTGTCTAGGTCTAATCTACCTCTGTAACCCCAATATAAGCAACCCTTACATATGGGAGCATTTTGCTTCCAGAATGCACTTTCACTTGGCCTGTTTCATCAGGAGATCAAAATCCATTATGGTCAATTTGGGTGTGTACAACACCTATTTCTAGGAGTTCCAGAGTTAGATTACAGTTTTGCTTAGAGTGGAAAAAGCACTTCAGTGAATAAAAAGAAGAGATCATTTAATCAAAGGAAACTAACAATTTAGTATATTGGCTTGGCTTTTGGGAATTTAGAAGTCTTGTTCATTATACTAAATTTCAGACCAATGTTTAATTCTAAATGAAATCCTTTATTTGATGAAGTATTAATAAGGTTTACGTTGCTCTGTTTGGAATACAGAATGAACTAGAAACAAAGGGTTTAAGATGTTTTTAGTAGCCTTCTGAAACTTTCAGTTTCTGTGGTGTGTGCTCCTATAATATGTTTCTTTCCTTAGAGTTTTCTTTTTTGGTAAAGACTCAGGCTCTAATTTACAGATGCTGCAGATGAAAAACATTCTTTAACTGGAGTCTAGCCATTTTAAAATTGCTAACTGATTGTGTACATATTTATTTCTCACATTACCAGTAAATATATTTTAAGAAGACAAGGACTGTACATGGAAAAACAACAACAACAAAACACCGCCACCAACAATGAAAACCCCTTGTTCAAATACTGTAATGTGTCAATTCAGGGCTGAGCACTTAAGAGGATTGAGTTAGCTGCCTTGCTTGCACAGTCCAGAGAGATTTCCTTAATATATCTTGTCATTAACATATAGTTCTTGATATTGGAACCAAGGGCACAACTAACACAGTACTTGAGGTGAAGAGAATGAGGAGAATGGTGAATAAAAGGTAGTCATGTTTTTTCTCGTTAATTCGAGAAGTACTTAGAAAGCACCACTTAGATTCCATTCCCAGCCTAGGAGTGAAATATGAAAGAGGGCCCTTGACTCCTAGGTGCTACCTTCTAGCAAGGACAGACAAGAAAACCCATACCTAGATTATACAAGTCTAAGAACAATAGTTTGGCAGCAGAGAGAATCAAGGATTTTGCTCCATGGGAGATATTCTGGAAGATTTCTCACAGAAGATGATATCTGGTTGAGCCTTAATGTGTTTTAGGAGTTCCCCTAGCTTACAATGATGGTGGCAAGGGGTGGGAGTTTTTGAAATAGGCAATGACATTTTTCTCTTGGACTCTGTCTCTCTGTTGCCTAGATCAAGCTTTAACTTGGACAGAATTTTAGGATAAAGCAGGGTCTGGTTTGGAGGAGGTAGAGTAGAGAGGCAAATTAGGATGAGAAGCAAAGACCTGTTGCAGGGTCATTAACAGAGTGGATTTGGGAGAACAAACAGATGTAGTGTCTGGAGAGAGTCCAAGTGGGCACTGCTAAGTAGAAAGAGATCAGTTTTTGTGGCTGTGGGGAGGGAGAAAGCTGCAAAAGTGAGCAGATGGGAGTCATTTCTGAGGTTTTAGACAACCTAATTTTTTCAGGAAAATCGAAGTGGTTTTGGATTATTTCAACACAGAGTACAGGCTGAGGAGTAATAAATAAAGTTGAAAAGTTGGCAAACCTATAATCATAAAGGACCATAGATGTTATACTAAACAACTGGGATCATATTTGGTGGTTAATGAAAAATTAATGGGTAGATTTGCTTTTTGGAAAACCACTCTGGTTTTACTGTGTAAGGTGCTTTGGAGGAGAATAAGACTGAACTCAGGTGGATAGCAAGGATCTGCTTTGATAGCTCTAATAAGAAATAAGACTGGAATTCTGGTAGGTGGATTGCAAAGAAAGTGAGTGAACTCAGAAAATGTTGTCATGCCAAGGAAGAAAACAGCTTAGAGAATAGTAGATTAGAAATTTGTGTGTGTTAAATGTGTTCTTGCTAAGAAAATGGTCTCTTTTGGTTGTACAGTCATACAACAAAAAGACATCAGGTTCATTGAAAATTTAGATTTCAAATTGCATGAATTTATATTTTAAAAGACCAAGAACAAATCATAGAAATTCTCTAATAGGTTTTTAAATCAGAAAACGCATCTGCTATTAATTTTTTTTTCTTCCACTTACTACATTTTAGTGCTTAGTGGAGGGAGCTTAATGCTTGCCTTTATTTGGATAGACTCAATTTTTAAAAGTTATTGATATGTGGAAAGGCCATTCCACAGAAATCTGGGATAGGAGCTACTTCTGTAAGGCAAAGTGGTCAGCTACATTAAAATAAGTAGAAGCAATCTACATTCTTTCTATAATTAATATTTCTCTTAATGTGCAGTGTTCATCCTTTCTGTTATGAGTATGTGGAATAGACTAGATGCCACTTTTTCTGTTGAGCAACATGATGGCAAGTGAAAGGTGACCCAGATACTCTGCATCCAAAAGGACCTTTGGGGAACCAGATGTGATACCTTGTGAGGAGCAGACGGATTTTGCAGTTCATCTTTCTTACAGTTTACAGCTATGTGGAACGCAGCCGCAAAGATCTAGCTGGACCGCTGGAACTGTGGATAATCTCTGGAATGCAGCTGCTTCAGAATAAGAAGGGGCAAGTCTGGCAGTCTCATTTAAGTAGCAGTTACTTCTTAAGTGGTTGGCAATTTTGTTAAAGCTTGTTGAGAGGCATAGTGCAAATGGAGTTCAAAGTGAAGTGACTTAGTTTTCCAGATCAACAAACAGCTGGAACAAGTGACTTGAACTCTTTCTGTTCAATCGATAACATACGCCTGTTTGTGTTACATCTACGGAAAAAGGAATAGTGCTAGCACAGCATTTCAAGAAACAGTCGGATTCAAAACCAGACAGATATGGATTTCAGTCTCAATTTATTACTTGCTCACAGTATGATGTTGAGGAGTTTACCTTAGGATGATTATAGTATGAACCTCTTACTTTTGGGGGAGGGGAGGATGTCATTACTGAGGCATTTTTGAGTCCAAGCTAGCCATCATATGATCTCATATATACTTCAGCATCTGTATTATATATAGAGTATGTATTTCTTTTTTTTTAACATTTTTTATTGATTTATAATCACCTTACAATGTCGTGTCAAATTCCAGTGTAGAGCACAATTTTTCAGTTATACATGAACATATATATTATTCATTGTTACATTTTTTTCTCTGTGAGCTACCGTAAGATCTTGTGTATATTTCCCTGTGCTATACAGTACAATCTTGTTTATCTATTCTACAATTTTGAAATCCTGTCTAAAAAATATGGACTGCTTCACGAATTTGCGTGTTATCCTTGCAGAGGGGCCATACTAATCTTCTCTGTATCATGCCAATTTTAGTGTATGTGCTGCCGAAGCAAGCACTACAGTATGTATTTCTAACATGTAGGTACATTTTCTCATATCACCACAGTGTAATCATCACACCTATCAAAATTATCTCTTAAAATTTGAATTAGTATTTAAAAGGATCATACATAATACTTTGTTGTTATGCCTCTGAAGTATACTTAAAACAATTTCTACTGTCAGTTCTTTTATCTTTTATTTGTTTAAAAAATTTTGTATATGTATATTTTATTGTAGTATAGTCAGTTTACAATGTGTCAATTTTTGGTGTACATCATGATGGTTTAGTCATACATGAACATACATAAAATCATTTTCACATACTTTTTCACCATAGGTTACTACAAGATATTGAATGTAGTTCCCTGTGCAATATGGTATGAACTTGTTTATCTATTTTATATATAGTACTTACTATCTACAGATCTCCAATTCCCAATTTATCCCTTCCCACCCACTTCCTCCCTGGTAATCACAAGTTTGTTTTCTATGCTGTGAGTCTGTTTCTGTTTTGTAAATAAGTTCATTTGTCTTTTTTTGATTCCACATGTAAGTGACATCGTATGGTATTTTTTTTCTCTTTCTGACTTACTTCACTTAGAATAACATTTTCCAGGGACATCCATGTTGCTGCAAATGGCATTATGTTGTCCTTTTTATGGCTGAATAGTATTCCATTGTATAAATATACCACATCTTCTT